ATGGATCCGCGTCCTGGTACCGTTGGCATCACTTGTGATGTTGCAACCCTCGATCTTCTCGATGGCTCGAAAACGACAAAATACTGACAAAGTTTAACTAAAATTGGCGAATCAAGACAAGAGATTTCAATAAAGCAGGAAAGTTACAATTTTTAGGACTTCTACAATGACAAGATCTCGAGGACACTTTCGCGGGAGAAGTCAATACAATTCTAAGGTTGAATTTATTCTCGGACGCTATGAAGTAGGCGGAGATAAATTATTCCGAGGAAGGACCGCCTTGGAAGCCCAACATCGCCTTGAATTCATCGTACAAGACCAAGACGAAGGCACCGCCAGTACCACGAATCACGTTGGAGCCAGCACCCTTGAAGAAAGCCTTGGGGCCTTCGTCAGCAGCGATCTTGGACCAGCAGTGGAGGGTCGACTTGTACAAGACGTCCTTGCGGCCAGCTTGCATCATCATGCGACGACGGACCGTGTCGAAAGGGTAAGACAAGATACCGGCGAACGTGGTCACGACTTGGGCCACGATCCACTTTTGCCACAAAGGAGCGTTCTTGGGGTCCGAGATGATGATGTCACGAGCGGTATCGTAACCACCGAAAAAGGCAGCGCGGTACACAATGATACCACCGACAGACACACCGAAACCACGGTACAAACCCTGGATACCATCCGACTTGGCGATGGTTTGAATGCAGTGAATGAGACCGTTGTATTGACGTTCCTTGCCGACACCGACATCAGCACCCAAGCGGGTACGGGCGAAGTCCAAGGGGTACACGAAGAGGAGCGAGGTGGCACCGGCAGCTCCGCCCGAGGCCAAGTTACCGATAAAGAAGCGCCAGAATTGGTCCTTCTTCACACCGTCCAAAAAGAGCTTCTTGTACTTGTCCTTGAACGCAAAGTTCAAGGCTTGGGTGGGGAAGTAACGGATGACGTTGGCCAAGTTGCCGCGCCAGAACGACAACGGGCCTTGTTCCGCCGCGACACGGGTGAAGCAGTTGATGATACCAGTGTAAGGGTCCTTGATTTGGGTGGACGCGGCTTGCACTTGCAACAAGAGCTTGACACGTTCGATGGGGGCGACGACGGTCTTGGAGATACCGCCGGCAACACCACCGGCAGCCAAGTCCGTCAAGAACCCGATGATCGGGTCTTCCTTCTTGGCAGGGGCCGTGGCAAGAGGCTTCATTTCGGCGTAGCGAGCGAACATTGTTGTTCTGGCGACAGGCAAATTGCGAAGTGAGGCCAAGTTGCGTCGCGAAAAGTCGACGTGTCCACGTATACAAACTTTCATATAAACAGCACCTTGGCCGCGCTCCACCACTGGTTTGAAAGGTCGCCCGCACTTTAGCGGGACCACCTCGTCGTTTCTGGTTGGCTCGTAAAAATAGCTGCACATCGCGTGATGTCTGTAATTTGACCTGTTCGCGACACCTGTATACAAAAAGCAAGTCAAACCGACGAAATTCGACCAACGGATGGCGGTCGACGGATGGGATGGCGGCCACTGATTGGCTAAAATCCTAAGCATCGCAAACAAGATCCGGATACCGACAAAGGTAAAACGAGCGACCTCGCCGGCGGCCGGTCCGCGAAAGCGTCGGAAGGACCCCGTGGTGGGTCGGCGATCGAAATAGCCGCGTTCGGGCATGGTGTGATGCCACTAGCAGCTCTCTTTCGTGTCCTGGGACGTAAGAACATGTGGTCGGAATGGTACCCTGTGATATTGTCCGGATACCCAATTTGGAGACTGTGGTGGGATGAAACTCCACATCATCCATGGAAAGCGTTCGATGTGTGGTCGGCGAAGTTTCCGTCGATGGGTGGAAGCAGAGCAAGATTGCCTGGCGATGGGCCATCATGGAAATTACCCCTGCGAACTCGAAGAAGTGGCCTCGCGCGAGTCACAGCCACTTGACAAGATGGTCCGTGTGGCGTCGCTCCCGATAGTCGCACTCCTCGTCGCATGCATGCGTTGATCTGAGTTTTCGCCCTCTACCTTGTTTCCCACGCTGCATTCGCCCCAGTCGATGGAGTGCGGAAGAACACTCCCACTCGGTGCATGAAGCTGCAAAAGTGCTTCCTTTTTGGCCAGCATCAATATCTAGCCCCAAAGGACTTGACTCTGCATTCCTTGGCGCATGCTCGTGGACAATTTCGCGCCGGGGCATTTTCGTCGTCATGAGCATTGACAGCTCACTGCCACGAAATTCTGGCATCGGTATGCTGGCGTACCGCGATCCGGTGCAATTTGAAATCTGTCCAAGAAGAACGTGAATTCTTTTCCGCCGACTGGTGCAGCTCCATGCCAACCACGCAATGACGAATTGTCGCTCGCCCCGACGCTGAACCAAATTGGCCGCCGCCCCTTCTTGAAGGGCTCGGTATGATTGGCCTGTCGATTTGCCAAGCATCCCAGCGATTTCAAGAAAGGCTGCGGCGTCTAGAAGCAACGCGTTTTGCTTTACGTGCGATCTCGACCAAGTCTGGTGCGTCTCGAACGGTGTACGCGCACGAGTTCACGCTCTCTTGCCGCTCGCTCCCTCCAGACGCTATGATACTTTGGCGCATCATCTCCATTGCCGACGCTTCTCACGTCCGATCTCCCTTTTGCTGGCTAGTTGCCGACTGCCTCGCCTAGGTCATCGTCAGCCCATTCCTTGGCAGTTCCCCCAACGATTTACCTAATCCGTGTGGTGCTTCGTTGCGGCTTTGGAGCGTCAAAAAATCTCAGCCCGCTTCGACACAGCGCGGCTGGAAATACCCCGAATGCCCATCCTGTCACCTCGACGGTGTTGCGATGCAGTCCAATAATTGAAGATGTATCGAACTCGACCCGTGGGTCATGCACACATCAGCACGACATGGTGAGCCTCCAGCTCACGAAATATCCGATGCCACCCGTGTGCCAAATGCGACTCCCATATTACAAGACCACAGCTTCCGCAATAGCCAACGATCGCAGCATCTATTCCCGCCGAAGCAAAAGGCTCCTCAATTAAATGCAAGATGCCTCTGTTCGACGACTCTGGGATGACCTATGGCCAACATCGTCACAGTTAGGCTGTGCACTTGTCCAGCGAATTTTTAGCGAGAGTGAAAAGGCTGCGAGCCGCCTGCTGTAATGTTCACAAATGCGACGCTGTGTCACTTTGCGACCACAGTCTTGCAGGACAGAGCATGTTCAGCTCAACGCAGGTGCTTCTAGGGGCTTTAAATGCCTTCCCAAGACGTCCGCTTCGTCGGACCGACCCCAAACGTCATGAGGTGGCTCTGGGCCGAGTAAAACAGGTCGGTGGCGTCGGCAATCCGCGTGGCAACGTCGACGTTGGCCATGCCGCGCCACTCGTCGACGTAAAACGTTCCATTCGCGACCAGGCGCGCCATGGAGATTCGCTGGCGCGCAGACACTCCAGCGTGCGGGTGCGTGCCGGCCAGGTCCACGTACCACCCGTCGTCGTAGTGTGTTTTTGGCGGGCGCAGTCGAACATGAAATAGCAGCCACGTGTTGCGAATCCGTCGCGCAAAAGGGAACGACAGGCCGTGTAGGGCACGATGGAGTCGTTGGTACCGTCGACGGAGGGCGCCACGGACTTGATATTGGAAACTCACCACCCCTCGGTACACGGACCGATAGCGCCTTTGGCACAGCCACCGCCGCACGTGCCCTTGAATGCATTGGGCAGCGATGGCTTGCTGAATCAACCGGTGGAGATCATTCAAGACTTGGCAGTTCATATCGTGGCGGGTGACGATCCAGTTTCGGCATCGGACTCCAGCAACGGGATGGAGGCGACTGATTCCGAACGCCATCAGCGTGTGCGGGTCTTGGAACCACCCGTCTCGGCATGGCGCGGCTCGTTGGAAGCGAGTGCCTGGCATGGCTCCAAGGATGTGGTTCGCACATGCATCTTCACACACAGCTCGATAAAAGACAATTCGCCCGAGATGACCACGAAACACCCGCTGAATGGATGTCGCTGCCTAGATCCATTGTGCGAGGGACGGTCCATCGCTGTGGGAACGACGTACGTGGCTGCGTCGAATGTGAAGTCGGTGCTGCTGCTCGACCTCTTGCCGGCCCAATTCCTTCCGAAGCGCAACGGACGCAGCGAGCCGGACGCACTCGTCGCGGACACGAGCTAGTCTGTCGTGTTCGAGTTGCAGAAAATTCTGAAATTGTACGTCCGACATGTTCATGAGCGGGTGCAGGAGAATTCGACCATGGGGGGCTTGGCCAGCCACGAGGAGCTCGAATCCCTTGGTCGTGTACTCAAGCCAGAGCTGGCCCACGAGCGCTTTGAACAGTGCTGGCCATCGATGTCGGACCTGGCGCACAATCCATATTTTGGTCCTGTCAAGCGGTGCTGGGGTGCTGTAGAGCAGCCGCCCGAGTCGATCGCACCTGGACATACTGGAGGTACTCGGGGCAATGCACTTGGAGCAACGGGACAGGTGCATGGACGTAAAAGACTTGGTCCGTCGCGACGTCGACTGCCGCGATGTCGACGCTAAAATCCGCCATCACCTGCGGCCCCACGAGCGGCAGACAGACGCAATCAGTGGCGGCGACGTCGTTCGGTGACAGTACATGCACTTGGACGACGCAACGAAACAAGCACACGCCCTTGTACTGGAGAACGTGGCACGTTTTCAGGGCACTGGGAAAACGCATCGTCAAGTGGTGGTTCTAGGAAAATCAGGGTCAAGCGAGTGCCATGGACGGTGACCGCCACACCTTCCAGCAAAGCGAAGGCAGCGCCGACGTGCACCACGAACCCCAGTGGTAAAGCGCATGTCGACACAACGAAGGGAGCTACACTCAAACATGCATGTTCGGACAGGACGTGAGCGCATGTCCTCGGATATGACGAGGTAGCAAAAATGGGGCGGCGGTCGAACTGGCGAGCGTCGCACCTGGTCTCGAAAATACAATGGCGGCGCGTGGAGCTCAGGAATCATGGTTTGCAGTGTCACAATGGATACAATGGCGTGGCTGGTGCGACTTGTGTGGGGGCCGTACGCTCGAAAGACGAGGGCCTTGGACTCGCCTTCATCGCAGGATCCATCTTCGTCGACGCTAACGATGTATGGTTGACGCGAACCCTGGATGAAGCACACGCGCGTGAATAAATGCGTTGGCCGTGCGTGGAAAAAATGCCGAGATCTCTTCCGTAATGGCGGTGGCGATATTTCGACGGAGGAAGGTGGGGCAGTCGCATGCGGTTTCGTCACCAAGGCGGTTGGAGCCGTGTCCATGGGACTGGGGCTGCCTTCGTTGCTAGCGCCATCCACTTGCCACCTGCTCCTGAAGTGCATGATGGAGCCGTCGACTTTGACAGATACTTGCGCATCCGTGGCGGGAGGGCGGGATGGGATGTTGTCGAGAATGTGCTTGGACCGACTCCACAGCGCAAGACTTCGCATCGCGACGCTCGACGATCTATACAATGTCACACGTCAAGCGATCGGTCGATACGTGAAGAGCTGACTTGTCCAAGCCCATGGTGTTCCAGTCGTCGTTGAGCGCGGCGAATTGTCGCTCGAGCTTGGCTTTTGAAGCCGACGTCAAGGATTTCTACGTCAGCATGAACAGTGACGTTTTTACACGATTCACAGGTACCTGCAGTGGGTGTGGCATCGGCGGTTTGTAAGCCTACAAGAAGCGCAGCGTCATTCCAAATCGTCTCTGGGACTGCGTTGTGGAGCTCGTACGATGACAATCGAGTGCAGTTTCTGGAGCTGGACGATCCACGCCTGCAGGCGCGTCTCGACATTGCACGGGAGTGTCGTTGGCGCGACTGGTGATGGCGAATCATGACTGCATGGGTGTAAATTGGATGGAATAGCGTGCTCTTGGTCGAGGTTGCGAGATGCCTCGCATGCGGCGGCTCTGTCCGAACGTGGGCCATTGGCGGCACCATGCTGATTTGAACGATTGGGTCGGGCGATTCGTACCCCGGCCGCATTTAGCGCTCGTACAGTTGGCTTTCGTGGGGGCGTTTTCTCCAGCAGGATCGATTGCGCGTTGGGCACGGATGGCAGTTTGGTGAAGCGACCGAGTGCCGGGAGCTTGCGGCGTGCGGCGAGGAAAACGCTCGATTGTTTCGCCCCGCAATGTGGACAAAACTTGGCTATCATTCTGCACGGCTGCTGGCACGTGCAGCACGCGGTGAAGGTTCCTTCAGCCATATCGCTGCGGCCATCGTCGCAAGGCTTCATGTCAACTTACAACTAGTTGAAACCGATTTTCTTACATAATTGAAGGGCGGGTTTCATTGGTTATATATTGAAGGATATAGCCAATAGAATGCAAGTCCTATTGTGTCTCCATCGACGAGAAATGTTTATTTGAGGCCGCCAATGGCATAGAAAATATAAGTAATTCAATTACAAGGTCGCAAGAAATCTGGCGGTGATATGAAAAAACAAAGCATAATTCTTCCTACGAACATGGGAATTCCAGAGGAAGAGGCCGAGCTCGCCCAAGAGATGGTGCATTACTTGACGCATGACGTCATGACGCTGCTGCGGAAGGCGAAGAGTCAACTGGAGGATGCTGAGCGACGATGGACGCGAATGGAGGCCCTCGAGGAAGCCACGGGCAAGTCGATGAAAGCCAACGTGAAGATCGACGTACAAATCTCAATGCCTACTCATAGCGAGGGACTGACCCATACGTGAATCTCAGGGTCACCTCGTCGTTGAGGCAGACATAGAGGTCAACTTGCGTCGGGGATACCTTGTCAACTCAAAGTACAAACGACGACATGAGCTTGCTCCCTCGAGGTTATCCCCGTTTTCGTAGGTTACATCAAGCATGCGTGCTGGACCAAATGCTAGAATTCCATCGAGTTCTGCAGCTTCAGTACCGCCGAATGGAGCAAGTTGCAAGCGCGCTGAGGAAACAATTATCCTTGATCCAAGGCGGCACTGACCACGCTCCGTTGCTGCAACAGATTGCACCGTTGGTGTCCGAAATCGTCGCAGTATGAGTCTGGAACGCTGATTGCCATCGTCATGATTTCGCTCCATTGCAGGAGCTCGGTGCCATTTCCCGCGAGCTGCGGACTGGCGGCAACGCCGTGCGCCTTCCCAGCACTCGGCGGTTTCCGTACTCAAGCCAACTCGATCATGTACGCATCTGCCACCGTCGTTCGCAGTCGTTTTCATCCAAGTCAACCTTAGCATTTCGTCCCACCATTGCCCTCCGACATGCTCGTGGACTTTTCCGTGCATCAAGCCCGACTGGTGGGGGACTCCCATCTCTTCCCGCCTTCAATAGTCACGTGATGGAGGCAGGTCATTGAGGCTTTCATCGTGGCGCCGTCGACCAAGCCTGTCGGCGACATCCTGTCTGGGGATACCAAGAAAGAATTTGCCGGACAAGTCACGTACGACTCGGCAACGACCGATGGAATACATGCCACCTGACGATAATGACTCGGTAGAGTGTTCCGTGGCCAGGCAGTCGAAATCCTCAAGCAGACGAGTGTGGCTGTCGACCTGCCTGGTCTAGACGACATGCTGTCCGTGGCTGATGCGCAGGTCGCGCGCATGCTGCACGTTCGGGACCAAGGGGGGGCGCTGATGCAGTGTGGCGTGCCATCATAAACAAGCCTTTAACGTCCCTTTCTCCATGGCCAAGAATGTATTGCAAATGCGTGCACCACGGCCTACCACCACCCGTGCCAATACAGCACACTGCCTTCACGCAAATCCAACTGATTGTGCTTGCGAATCGCTTAAACGATGGACCCGAACAGGTCCAGCGTGCAGTTCCAGTTGCCGACTACACTCGCTGTAGCATAACCAGGTACAAGGCCAACGGGGTTTACTTGGCTGTCGTATGCAGAAAGATGCAGTTGTCGCCAAATTTGCACGTCCCGGTCTTGAATTGGTTACACGGTCTCGTTGGTTTCTTGATGGCCTGGTGGGGCTTGGAGTTCTTGTTGTCGTGGCTAAACGAGCACATATCGCCGCGAAAGCACGTGCCGCGCATAAAGTCGTAGCATACTCGGACAGCTTCGTGGAAGTGCTCCTTCTTCGTTCGTTTTCGCATGAGGTGCCACTTGCCGAGCTTGTGCTCGGCGAGCTGTTCCGCGCTGGTAAAGTCCTTGGCGCACAGTTTGCAGCTTGTGCGCTGGGTGGTCGTCCCGACGACGTCGTTGTGGGCATCGGAAGCCTTGTGTGTCTGAAAATCGTCCAAGTCTTTGCCGACAAACCCGCACGGTTTGCATGCAAACGGGACCTTACCGACGATCTTTGGCGGCGGAGCCACTTCGGTTTGTGACGTATTGATCCTTCGATTGCTTTGAAAGGCTTGCGCTTTCGGTAGAAGCTCGGAAGGCAATGCCGGCACCTTTTCATTTTGATATGCGGACAAGCTGAGGATTGCAGGACCGTCATGTGTTCTTTTGGCCTCGTCATCGTTTTCGTCATCATTGACGGAGTCATCGGAGCTGTCGTCGTCGCTCGACGATGAATTCAACTGCGCCTCAAGTGCCTTGATCTTGTCTTCAAGGTCATCATCGCTTTCCTTCTTGGCAACTACAAATGGAAGGTCGGCAGATTGTTGCATGCGCTTTGCGATGGGCACCTCGGCGCCGGTTTGCCGCCGCCGTTTCTCGACCATGGCGCGTTTTTGATACTGGAACGCCCAAAAAAAGCCAAAAAAAACATAACTTCACACAAGGAGGATTATAGCCAATCAAGTTAAGTCATACCCACTCTCGATTCGGATTGGATATAAATGAATGACATGCATTCGAGACGTTCATTCTTGTGCGGCGCCCCTCATCCCGCTCTTGTTGCCGCCATGACTCGGCTCGCGTACACTACGCTCTTCTTCGTGAATGCCATCGTGGCGATGGCCCTTCGAGCATTCGGAGATCGTAAGATGGACAGCGAAAAATTCGTGGCTTGAGGACTTATGGTCGATCCTGCAGGCTTTTTGAAGTACCTGTGGTCGTTTGATACGTGCACAGACGAGGCGGCGAATCCCCATTGCGTTGGGAATCAAGCCGTCTATCGGTACGAAAGCAATCATGACAGGGACACGACCTCATGGATTCGGCGCAGCGCGAGTTTTGCCATGAGTTGTTTCTTCGTCCTCATGGCACTGGTCAGTGCGCTGTCGGAACGCGGGTTCAACAACTGCTGCTGTCTTTGGTGCTTTCAACTGCCGCTCTACGGCGTGATGTTTGTTGGGTCCTTCACCATCCCAAACGGTTGATTGTGGTTATCACGAATGCCGGAACTAACGCATTGTCGTCGTGTAGACTTCTTTTACGGGTTTGCATGGGTCGCCCGCGTCGCATCCGTGGGGTTCCTCGTCCTTCAAGTCATCATTATCATCGACACAACATGTGCATCTACATCCACCATTCCTTTCGTCAACCACTCACTCGATTGTTTGTGTCCTAGACAACGTGCGGGATTATCTGCTGGACAAGATCGACGCCTCCCATGCGGACGAGCGCGTGTCGCTGCTGTCTTTCGACGAGCGCAGCACCTTGTCATGCTCGCGCTACCGATCGTGGTTCTGGTACACGTTTGAATATTGGAACGGTGCCAATTTGCCGCCCCGTAGGAAAGCTCTGTTCTTTGGCCTGGTCCTTGGTGCGCTGGGTGGATCACTTGTAGGCGTCGGCTTCCTCGTACGTCGGCATGACGTTTGAATGATGTATTCTCACGACCACTTTGGACAGTATCATTACTACGATATTTGCCAAATCGGCCACGTTTTCACGACAGTGACTCTGGTTGCGAGTGCGGTCGTGACGGGGCTCAGTGGTATGCCATCCTCCTCGTTCGTGTGTGCGATTCACTCGTGCTTGCAAAAGTGACGTCGGAAGGACCTGGCCTGCTTCCCCCTGCGATCTTGTCCTTGTACACTGTCTTTTTGTGCTATGAAGCACTCCGTGCCAACCCAGATGCCCAGGTTCGCCGTCGTTTACCTCCACATGTATTGACGACGTGTAGTGCAATCCGTTCCTGGCGTACCAAGCGAGCTCGACGGTCAACACCGTCATCGCCGCGTTGATCGGCGCCGCCACCATCACATGGACAAGGTCGGCATGTCTGTTCTCCAGCTGTCGACTTCATCGCAACAACGTTACCATAGCTGGTCCACGGCTTCGTCCTTGATTCGACTCGACACTTTGTCGGACGAGAACCTTGAAGGCGTACGGCACTCGCGCGTTGTTTAGCCATGGAATTGCGTCACCCTTGAAAATGTAGGCGCCCAAGGACAAGCAGTCAGATGTGCCGAGCTGGCAATTTCACGCTGTCATGGTCGTGGGGTCCTTGTACATGGCGATGGTTGTGACGCAATGGGGAACAGCGACCGGGTACTGCTCTCCCATTCGCCTTCGCATGACATTTCATTCATTACCTAGGCAGCAAGACGGCGCGGCCATGTGGGTTCACATTGCGTCCCAGTGGGTGGCTTCTGCCCTGTTTGTGTGGACCCTCGTCGCGCCCTACTTGTTTCCCGATCGCGAGTTTAGTTGAGAGTCGACCATGGCGAACTCGACCATGAAAAATCGTTTTTGAGTCGTTAAATGTGCTCGTGCAAAAGCAGCGCCACCCGCTCGACCGTCACTCGATGCTGCAGCTTGGATGCCACGTTTAAGATCGTGTCGACTTGGGAACCGCCGTGGTACACCATGAAGATGGGCAAGTCTTCTGGGCGAATGCTTGGATCGACCTCTTCCCGTTCAACGACGAGGAACTACCGCATCTCGTCGTGAGTGCCGTCAATGCCGTCGACATCTCCATGCAAGGATACCTGGGTCCGCGGATGCTCGGGGCTGAGCTGCTGCAGGCAGTTGTTGACGGCCACACAAAAGCCGTTGCTCTGGAAAAGCAATTTTCAACGATCCACAACGAAATCGATGAGCATGCTCACCTCGTCGGACATGTGCACCACCACCGGTGTGCGGGGGTCGGCGGCATCCACCAAGTCGACAAAGTCAAACGCCGAGCAGTACTTGACAGTACCGAATGTTGGGGCACTACCCAAGGAGGTACGGTCACCGTCCACGGTGGAGATGGTGACTTGAATCGTACCCTGCATGCACTGCGGACTGGATTTCAGCCACCCGTTTGGCGCAATACTTCTGCAGGAGCGCGTCATCTTCGAATTCATCGAGCAAGTCGTCGTCGCTGTCGTGGACATTATTTTGCAGAGCGTTGCAACATCCATTGGAATGTTCAGGCGCTGGTGGTGCAGAATCGGATGGGCGCACGTATCCCTTGGCAATGCGGGCGAGCACCATTTCACGGACCGCAACTTCCTGCGCACGTTCCTCTGCCTTCGCTTGCTTGTATGCTTTGTAGTCATTGAGAACGCCTTTGGGCCCAGTGAATGTCGACTTCTTGAATTGTCTGCGCTTTCCTTGTTTGGAGACATCCTGCTGTTCCTGCCATGGGCCGTATGGGTCGTGCACGGAAGCTGGGAGGGACTCTTCGTTGTCGCTGCACGGTCAAGTGTCGATGAGGCGTGGAATTGTGATCTGGTGATTCGTTGTACCTGGCCTCAGAGTCCGAGTCGACCTTACCGCCAAGCTCGTCGGCGTCGCGATCTTTGTACACATCATGGCGTAGGAAGAAGTCGTCCATCTTGAAGTGATGCCCCAAGGCGCCTGTTGAGCAGAACTTGCAAACGGATTTGGCAGTAGGTTTTGTGGTTCATCCAATCAAAACAATGTATTTTGCAATTTTCTGATTTTTAACCAATAAATTGCAGACATTGCAATAGATATTGTCGAACCTTTCGTTCGGACCAGAGAAAGATTTGAGGGATGACAAGGGATGCAAAGGAGAATGCAAACGTATTGCGCTGTCATTAGTTGATATATGCTAAACTTAACCCTTTCCAGATTGCTTCATGAGCCACTGGATCACTTGGTCGATGTTGACGAGACGAAGGGCCGAAATCGGAATGACGAGCCAAGGATTGTCGACAATGTAATCCAAGTTGAGCTCGCGGATCAATTCCGGTTCCGAAATGTGGGGTTCCAAGTCGATCTTGTTGGCCAAGACCAAGAGGGGGGTTGTCGCCAACTCCCTGTAGAACCTCTCCATTAGCACAGGCGCCAAAGCCAATGGACACGACATTACCTGTCTTCGAGGAGGCGGTGGAGTTCCTTTCGGGCCAACGAGATTTGATCAAACTATCCAAACACAGGTGAATACACCGTCAAGCGCTAAGTTGGGAAACCATACCGCATTGGCGTCGACGACGTAAATAATGACATCGCATCCGCGGGTGTAACGACCCCATTCGCTGCGATATTGCGCCTGTCCACCAATATCCCAACACTTCATCTGGACGCCTCCTTTCTTCACAAGCTTCACGTTCAGGCCAATGGTCGGACACGTTTCCACGGGATGTCCCATGGCCATCACGTTCAGCAAGGTCGTCTTCCCACTACAGGCCACGGTGAGGGACCCAAGGAGCGCATGGGGCACATGTCACGCGAACATAGCCCTTGGTTCTCGACCCTCTCGAACCATGCATCGCACCTGTTCTCAAGCCCGACCAGCACGACTTCGAGCTTCTTCGTGTAGAACGCTTGCAGCATGCGCTGCAGAAGGGCGCCCATGTTGACTTGCGCTCGCCGGACTGTCTTCACGTGTGAGGCAAATGAGGGCGAGATCAGTTTTCACAGGTACTTGCCCCTCCGCAATAGAATTCGTCCTACAATTTGGATATGAAAGGATAGAGGTTTTTCCTTGTTCTCTCTGACGTCGAATCCGGATACATACCACGGCCTCTACGAGACATCTTAGAATTTGTATACATCGCGGGGACGTTGGCGACGTCAGCTATTCGGAAAAGGCCCTTACCAACATTCTGCCGTGTCAATGAACGGCATACGATTGGCGAAAATGCATCCAATCAGAGGAGTCGCCGAGGGAATATTGTTGTAACGGACACCGTTTTCCCAAAGGACGCCGAAACCCCAATTCAGCACCCCCGACCGACGCACCATCCACCGCCCGCGTCGTTCCAGTGCATGCGCATTCGATGAACAAATACGAAGTGCTTGGGATTGTGGGCGAAGGAGCGTACGGTGTGGTGCTGAAATGCCGCAACAAAGAGAACGGTGAGGTCGTGGCGATCAAAAAGTTCAAGGAGAGCGAGGACGACGAAATTGTGCGCAAGACGACGCTGCGGGAGGTGAAGCTCTTGAAGATGCTCAAGCAAGAAAACATTGTCAACCTCAAGGAAGCGTTTCGACGGAAAGGCAAGCTCTACCTGGTCTTTGAGTACGTCGAACGAAATCTCTTGGAAGTACTCGAGGAAAAACCCACTGGACTCGACCCTGAGCTCGTCCGCCGGTATATCTATCAACTCAGTCGCGCAATTCACTACTGCCACGAAAATGGCGTCGTGCACCGCGACATCAAGCCAGAGAACCTCCTCGTAAACCCGAATTCGGACCACTCGCTCCGGCTGTGCGACTTTGGCTTTGCCCGTATGATAGCCGAGTCCCAGTCGCAAGAACTCACAGACTACGTTGCGACGCGGTGGTATCGGTCGCCCGAGCTCCTCCTCGGATCCACCAAGTACGGCAAGAGCGTCGACATTTGGGCGATTGGATGCATCATGGGCGAATTGCTCGATGGTCAGCCGCTCTTTCCCGGCGAGAGCGAGATTGACCAGTTGTACATGATCCAGAAAATGCTTGGCCCACTCACCCCTGACCACATGGAGCTCTTTCTGTCCAACCCGAGGTTCGCCGGCCTCAAGTTTCCCGACATGACGCGCCCCGAAACGCTTCAGAAACGATTCGTGGGCAAGATCCCAAAGCGCGCCCTCGGGTTTCTCAAGGGCGCAATACAACTCGGACCGGACGAGCGCATGACGGCCACCGAGTGCATCAACCATCCGTACTTCGAAGGGCTCGAAAAAGAGATGGACGAGCTCAAGTGGAACAACCAGCCGAGCCCCGTGCTCATCAAGCCATCAAAGGACAACGACTTGCTGTCCTCGACCGCCGCCGCTACTCTCCCCTTGGACGACGCGCCTCCGTACACAGCCACCCCTTCGTCGTCATCATCTTCACTTCTCTTTGACAAGTCGCAAAAGGCACGAAAGGAAAGTCCGCCACAAGTGCAGAGCACACACGACAGTGCCGCCTCGTCGTCAAGTACATCCAGGTCCAAGAAGGACCCGGGGAAGAAGAGACGGGAGAATCAACGGTCCAAAGACAAAGCATTGTCCAGCGGTACATCGGACGAGATTGTGACGGGTGGAAAGGAGGCGCGGGGCGTTGTGCGCTCCGTCGAGTACGGCAATGGCGATGGCGCGATTGTAGAGGCTGACTACACAGACTTGACCACAGCCATGCCAAAAGACAAGGATGGAAGCATGTCGTCCAGCTCAAGCCGCAAAAAGTCGTCGGCGAAGGGATCCAAACCGCCACGGGCACCCCCATCTCAACTAGCTGTCGCCGAGGATAAATCCATGGCATCCTCCTCCCAGCCATCCATTGCAAAACCCAGTTCGAAATCCACCAAGTCGATCCCTGCCGCCCTGTCGACTCCACTGTCGTCATCGCCCCCCAGCGGCACCTCGATTCCCATCAACTCGAAATCGCCTGCATCTTCGTCATCCACACAGCCACCACCATCGTCCGACCCGGCCATATCTGGTCGGCGGAAGAAGTCGACGTCGTCGCTGCACAAAGCCGAGAGCAAGTCGTCGAGCACCGCTTCCATGTCTAGCTCATCCCATAAGCGAGCTCTGAAAGACCCCATGTCCTTTGACGCGAAAACTGCCAAGTCTGTCACGGCGCTGCCCAAGTACCAAAAAGAGTCCAAGCATTTGCCGCACCTGGCATTCGGCGCAGGAGGGGACGACTTGGACTGTACGAACGGCAACGAGAGCGATTCGGAAGCGTTGTGCAGCATACGCAAGTCTAGCCCACACCACCACCAGTCGTCGTTCCAGTACCATGGCGGGCTGCAGCCGCTGCGCAACGGGCCGTCCGATCCAGCCAAAGATACTGGCAACTCGACAAGCTCCTCCAGTACAGCTAGGACAAGTAACTTATAATGCCGCGACAGTGCTCCCGTTTCCTTGTGGATGTATTGAACGAGTTGGTCCATTCAAGTGGGACGTTTAAAACACTACATCGGCGTCTGCCGTCGGCTCAAACGCCGCCAAGATGTCTTCGTCGGACGGCAAGACATGCTTGGCCGGTGGTTTGACGGCGCCGGCCGCAACCAACGCGTCGAGCTTGGCCGCTTCTTCCTTGGCAAATTCAATTTTGTTCGCTTGGACCTTCTTGATGCTACAAGACACCGTCACTCACGTTCGCATGGTGTCTTTCTTCCTTACCGAACGAAATCTTCGCGTTCGAGCTCGTCCAACTCGCGAACAATGTAATCGATGATCTTGTCGATACGTGGAATCGTGACATTGTCCAGCGCATTCACGCGGCGGTTCGTCACCTTGAGCGCTTCGTCCAACGTCACGAACGACGTCTGGAGCGACGCGAGCTTCACCAACGCCTTGAGCAACACGCGAAACTTCTCTCGGCAGTTCTGAATCTTGCCCCCACCGCCCGTGAGCCCAATGTTTTCAGCCTTGTCTCGGCTTGACTCGATCTCCGTGAACACGGGCAGCTTGACCCCAGCCACGTTATCAATGCGGTTTTCCAGGCGAATCTCGGCTGACGTCACGCTTTCAATCACTTTGTGTCGAAAGTCTCCCGCGGCATACTGCGCCTGGGACAGCGAAAAGAACGCATCGGACGCTTCTTGCGACATCGCCAACTTGGTCTTTTGAATTTCGCGCAACATGGCTTGGAATCGCATCTTCAAAGCGTCCGCCTTCTTCTTCAACAGCTCAAACCCTACACAACAATCGCCCGTGGCATCAGTCACCTCGGCAATCGTGCAATGCCCCTCACCTTTCTTCGCTGCAACACGCTTCGCCTTGTACGTCGTCAAGTTCCTGGGCACGCAAGTCAAACACACGTTCACATGCCGGATCGACACGGGGAATGAATGCCTACATGCGCGTCGGCGGCACTTGGACCGTCGACATGATTCTCCGATAGCCCAAAGATGTGCCTGTGCTTGCGACGAAGTGAATCACCCCAGGATGGGCACATTGTTTAAAACACTTCACGCCGAGTTTTAAACAGCACGACTCCTTCATTTAAGAACTCCATTGCCATTCGATTGGGTTCCCTCTCGTTAAAGTTGCAACAGTAGATTCCTTCATTTCCGGCCCGAAGATCGGACTCATGCGAGTGCACCATGCGGCAGGCTTGATGAGCATCCTGCTGAGCACACTCCATGGATTTGTCATCGACCCGTCGACGCCCAAAGATGTCATCCAACGTGCCTTTCATGTAGGTTCTTCGGATGATCATGCATGATATCCCTCATGTCGTGCGTCAATCAGTGTGGGCCTGTGCAATGGATCGGCTCGTACAATGAATTCTACCAGCAATGCCAGTTTTTGAACACGTCCGAGTCTGTCTGGATCGCAAACATGACGCTGAACGCGGCACTCTTGTTCGCGGATGACAGAGTCCTCGAATCCATGCGCGCGTCGACGTCGTCGTACCACATTGAGCTGAGCTTTCGCTTGGCACCAGCGACGACGCACTTCATCATGCACAACGCGTCGATCGTGTCGTCAGCAGTGTACATCGACAGTCACAATATAACCGTGGATGCAAGAAGTTCCATCAACACGACTGCGCAAGGCCTCAAATTTGGACCTGGCTTCAACAGCGATGTTACGGTCGGCAGCGCGTACGGCGGCACTGGCGGAAGTGCTTTGTCAAACGGCATACTCTCTCCATCGACGTGTGCAGATATTGACGTCGAGAGCACCATGTACATCCAGCCGATTGGGGATCTCAAAGGAAGCGTCGGTGATTTCCGTGGGTATGGCAGCGGGGGTGGCTCGGACGCGACCCGCGGTGCAGGTTTTGTTGAACTGAATGCATCCCACACGTTACAGCTCGACGGCGCTGTTCTTGCCAACGGCGGCTTCGACGCAGCATCGTCTGCAAGTCGCTCCGGATCAGGTACAATTCGAACAAATTTTCACATCATTTGGTCATCGGCCACGTTGTAGGTGGCACGATTCGGCTATCCGCAAAGATCTTAAATGGAAAGGGACGTGCAGAAGCATGCGGAGGCAATGCGACAGCTCCCGGTGAAGACTCTACTGGCGGTGGCGGTGGTGGCGGCGGGGGCCGCGTGGTGCTGGAGTATGCACAAGGCAATCGAGGCACCTTGAGCGTTCACGTGCACGGAGGCACGCACGCATGGGAGATGCCGTCCTTATGGTGCCAAGAAGGCGGCACTGGAACGTACTTGGAAATCGTTCGCGCGAATTCCACGACGGTACAAGGCACGATATGGATTGTGGGACGACGGAAGGAGCCACCCGCAGGACTGATGGCTGGCACACCACTCTTTTATCGCACGGCGCGGCGAGAGCTTATGGTCGAGCCATGGATGCTGCACGTTCGAGTGGCCCAACACGCGCTGGTGTTTGCCAGCACTCTCCAGCTCCATGCAAACAGCTCGATCGAGGTGAGGCAGGTCAAGTTTGGCGGGGCGACTGGACGACCGACTTGGTGCTTGTAGGTGGAAGCTGGGTCCTTTTGGGCTACGCTCGTCTTCAACGAAACGATTCAGCTCATGGCATCTTCCATCACAATTGCAGTAGGTGCATGCGTGGTGATGGTTCCATTCCGTGGGTCGTCCACGAAAGCTGTCGTGGTAGGGTCGACTTGGTCCCATGGCAATTGACAAGCAGAACGTCATGCTGTTCGCCACCGATAAAGTGGCGTTGGCTGCATCTGCTCAACTCGTCGTGCATTCGCTGGTCGGCCAATGCACAACGTTTGAGTCGGATGGAGTGATCACAGCCACTCATTTCGTGTCCGTTGACGCTCTCTCCGACGTGCGGTTGGGAGGCCATCTCGAAGTTGAAGCGTCACGACCTGGACGCGGCTTCCGAGCCTCCCTGAAAAGCCGCCATGGCAGTGTTGCGCTGCACCTGGATAACTCGAGTCAAGTGGCGGTACCTGTCGAGGTATTGTGCTCGAATCTTGTCTCCCGACTCACTGAGGTCTCCATAGATTCGCGCCATCGAAGGAACGGTGGACCTGAAGGCATCATGTGTGCTTCGTGCCATTTCAGCCGTCGGACAACACGTAAATGTGACGGGGGCGACGGACCCCTCCAAGGAAAACCCCATCCTCGGCAGCGCGGCAAGCATGTGCCAAGCATGGCCGACCCATGGTGATGTTTGTACCGCCGAGGACCCGCCGCCGTTCGCGCTGTCAATCGTCGCGACGTCCACCGTGTCCATCACAAATTCGTTGGTGGTGTCGTCGCTGCTTATGTGCAGCCCTCAAGCAACTGTACACGGGTCGATCTCTGCAAACGGTCTCGGATGCGTGGATGGCGGGCCAGGGCAAAGCCGAATTGTGGGCAGACTAGCGAGCGGTGGTGCTGGACATGGCGGCGCAGGGGGCGAAGTCATGCCAGCAAAAGGAGGGGCCGGTCGAGCCTTCGAAGCAAGTACGTGGCCGCAGTGGCCCGGGAGCAGCGCCGAGTCCAATGACGTAGTCCAAGGCGGAAAAGGCGGGGGGTTGGTTGTGCTTGTGGTGAAAGCAATCACACTGGCTGAGGGTAGCGTCGTGTCGGTCCGTGGGGGGAATGGCACCCATGGCGGCGGCGGTGGCTCTGGTGGGACGATTGTGCTTGGGGACGTAGCCGACATCGTCGGAGACGGCGCCCTCGACTTGTCCGGTGGCAGCGGGTCGACGACGTACGTGGGGACGAGCGAAGAGCAAGTTCACGGCGGCGGTGGCGGCGGCGGCGTGCTATGGATCCGCTACCAAGATAAAGGGAGCGGCAAAGACTTTCACGGACGCGTCGCTTTGAACGGCGGATTCAGCGCGGGGCAAACGGGTTTCGATGGCGTGGCCAAAGGAGATGCGTGCGGGAGTGGGTGTGGCGGGCTCTTTTGTTTGCCGTGCACCCCCGGCACCTTCAGCCCTGCACCCGATGCAGACTGTGCCCCTTGCCCGATCGGTGTGCACTCATAGCCATTTCAACACGACGGCTTTGACGACGCTTGTAGGGTCATTCAGCGACAAAGCGGGCGCCACGTCGTGCTCCAAGTGTCCCAAAGGTACTTGACGTGACCGCCTTCATTCGACGGAAATCAATCTCAAGGATGCCTTGCTTCCAGGACAATTCAATCCAAACCCTGGCAGTCGGGCGTGTGTGCCGTGTGCCCCTGGGCAGTACTCTCCCGACGAAGGAGCTGCCACCTGTGCAAAGTGCCCCCGCGGCTCCTTCAGTCCCGACAAAGGCCAAGACATGTGCACGTTGTGTCCGAATGGCACTGTGGCCCCGGTCGAAAGCAGCTCGCAGTGCGCCGAGTGCGGCGTCGGGGAAACCACCGATCGACCTGGCGCCGTCGAGTGTCGAAAATGCTCGATCAAACCAGAGCACGCCACGTACAACCAAAAGGGGTCGTGTGTGTACATGTGCGAGAAGGGCCATATCGGGTTGGACTGCCTGACGCCGTTTGAAAAGTTCATCCAGCCGATTGGAGGCCCGGTCGGGTTCGTTTTGTTCTGCTTTGTCACGATCTTGAGCGTCTTTGGCATCTACGGCTACGTGTCGTCGTCGTACGGCGGGACGCTTCCTGCGGTCATGAAGCAGTACCGCGCTGTGCGGGCGCCGACCCCGCACTCCAACTCGACGCACCTTCCTCGCCTCACGGACCACCAACTGACATTTCACGTCGCACGATTGTACTTTGGCGGTCGCAACACATTCTGTCAGCCATGGCATGTCCCGACGGACCTCGTCGTTGGCTCGGATCTTCGCAAAACTATCTACGAAGGGTCGTATGCCGGCTTTGCATCCAAATGCAACGCCATATGCACTGGACATGCCAAAGCGTGGTCGACCGCGGCCCATGTGGAACGACTGGCGCGGCTCGCCGTGCCGCCGCTGGCCACGTGGATGCTGCGGCGCTACCAGCGCTCGACCGTGAAGCAATTGTTTGAGTACATGACCGAATACGGCACGGGATTCTTCCGCGACCTGGACTTGCAAGCGTCTGGCGCGCACTTGATTCTTGGATACAGGTGCTT